AGGCCGCGACGCCACGTGCTTGGCGATCCTGCGAACGACAGTCCATTGTTTCGCGGATAAGCCGTTTTTATTAAAGCGGATGATTATTTCGACGTCGAGCATCGTCGGTGGATAGGACGAAAACCGATCGATGGCCGAGGCCCATCGTCGTCGTCGTCGTCGTCGTCGCCATCTCGGGCCGCCTTCATACCTGATTAAGCGGCAAAGTGATACGCATCGAAAATATTTCACTTGTTAAATATCTCGGGGAAATTTAAATTTCATTCTCTGCGATAAAGTCTATATTTAAAATTCAACAGATTTTTATTACCTACATATTTCCAATTATCTGACATGATAAATCTATTTTAATTTTTCTGAAAGTAATACGGCAGTCTGTAAAATTGTAAGTTATATAAACGTTAATATCCATTTTCCCTCTCTCTCTCTCTCTCTCTCTATATATATATATATATATAGATATTCTTTAATAAAATATTATATTACTTGGAAATATGATTTTGTTGTAAAATCACAAAATGGAATTTTATGATTAAAAGTGTGAAAGCACGTGAACAACGCAACGCTTTTTCCGGCGCCTTACCTTCGAGAAGGAATTAGAGAGATTGGAACCGGCCCATCTTCCTCACGGTCCGAATCAGAATGCAAAAAAGAAGGAAAAAAAAAGGAAAAAACTGTTTTTCAAGAACGGACGAACCGCTCTTACATGGTTCGTGGAAAAAAAGTGCGTTTCCACGCGACCGCTGTTGGTATGTTTCCGATGGAAATCCAGTAGCCCGAGTGAGAAGAGGGAGTTTCAGAGGGTTAGTCCCGAAGAAACAAAATGACGAGAGAGAGAGAGAGAGAATGAGACGGAAAAGGTAAAAAAATAAGACGCGAACGATAAACGGGCGAGAGAGGGAAGATAGAAACACGGAGAGATACGTGTAGGTTCGTCCATGTAGGGACAGAAGGCAGCCCTGCGGGCAGGCAATCAAATAAAGTAGTCCGAGGTTGCTTTGCCGGATGCAAATTCAGCCCCCGTGGGCTTTCTGTTTCCATCCTCCCTCCTGCTCGGTCGCTCCGCAACTGGAGTCTCAGCGCGAGTTTCCGGGACACACGGAAGTGGCCCTGCTCTGTAACTGCTCGCCGCTTCCTCCTTTTCTTCCCGTCGAATTGTTTATTCGAACCTTTTCCAGCTTGATCGGCAAGAATCGCCATGCACCGACAACACGTTCAATCGAACGCGTTAATACTGTTCAATGGGTTTATTTCACAACTTGAGAGGAATACCTCTTTATTTATATATCTTCAATATATATAACTGCAAGATTCTAAAATATTAATAAATTTGATAAAAGGCTGTTAAGAGCAGTAAAAATTGTATTTAAAGAGAACTTATCTTTGATTCTTTTTTGTCACCTTTTATTGTAATTCATTATTAGACATTAGATCAAAGAATATTATATACGAATATTATATATGACTTCACTTTCAAACATAATTTGAATTTTTATATTTACTGCTCTTAACAGCCTTTTATCAAATTTATTATAATTTAATAAGAACCTAGACTTACTATACGATTTAATTCTAAATATTGTTCTAATTACCGAGAAATACCTATTATATCGGTATTGTCATATTTGCAAAAAAAAATCGAAATAAATAAAGAATATAAAATCAGAAAGAAATATTTTTACCGGCTCTCAATATTAAGAATATAAATATGATCTTTTTTTAAATCGGCCAACAGATTTAAAGCACGAAAACTTAATTATTCGGAACTGTATCTCTTGGTTTGAGATCACTAACAATAAGTTCCATATATAAATTAATCTCGAAACTTACATACGGCGCGAGAAAATATAGGTCCGAAAAGAAGATAAACTTGTGGAATAATTTTGAAGAAAAATGACGACAAGGTGATACATCTCCGACATACTAAACTCGAATATACTCGAGTCGTGTTCGCCAGATCGATTTCAACGGAAGGTAGGGTTCGAGCGGATCGGGTCGCGTCGTGCGACTCACTCCTAATTATGTCTTAATGAAAATAAATCGCTACATTTGTAGGAGTGTCGTGTCTCTTTGGGCATTTCCACGAGTCGCCCGCGCAGTTCGTCTTCTTCCTCCTTCCTTGTCTCTCTCTTTCTTCCTCCGCTCTATCCGCTGTTATCTTCTCGTGCTCTACGCCACCTGTTTGATTCTCTCAAAGGGATACCAGTGTCTATTTGTCTATTTCGGTTTATCCCGTTCTCCTCCCTCTACTCCGCATGACTTGGATTTGGAATCCAACAGTCTTCCTCTCCTCTGTACGTTCCAAGTTGAACAATCAATTTCAATTTCGCGAGAATCTCTTTTAAATCTCGAATTCGTCGCGCCGTATCGGAAGCGAGGGTGGAAAAAGGGAGGGAATGGGAAGGGTCACACGAGTTAATGCACCTAAATGACAATGGCGAATTGATAATAAATCGAGAGGCACACAGTACATGTATATAAGAGACCTCTGCATTTATTATATTTATCATCTAATAATAATAGCGGCGATAGAATAGTAAGGATAGCATCAGTATTTATATTAATTATCCGGTAGTATGTACAATTATAAAAGAAACCTATACTTATATAAATAGTGAAAAGAAAAGGGATATTTTTGTTTTTTACATAAACGATCGTCTACAAATGTAATTCTGTTGAGGGAGGTGGCAACAAAACGGTAACAACACAATGCACACAACTGTAATTCTTAATAAATAATCGTCTCTCTTTTTATCCTATATTAATAGGGCACACGCGTACAATTCTGTTTTTTTTTGTTCTTCTTCTTCCATCACTCTTATTAATATACGTCGAAATCTCGCCACGATTCTTAACTTATTACATATTTGACAGTACGCTGGTGTACACAATACGTCAGGATCCAGCATACCGTGTTATTACATCCGAATTCTTTTACACGACATTCATCGCAATGGCAAGGATGCTGTCACATTTGTTTGATAAAGCTCACTCAAATTGCAGTTCACACGCACACCAAGTATAATAAAAGCAAGACGTTCTTTTCGCTTGTCCGTGATACAGAGTACAACATCACTGGACGACCCATCAGACGACAAAACGGACACATATTATACGGTAAACTTACAATTACAATGATTACATCGTTAACTCTAATAAGTAACGCGATATCGGCGATTCAGAGGCTGTTTCCAGCCTTCTCTTTTTTTTTTTTATGCAATAGTTTGCGATCATTTAATCATCCTCGCGAATGACAATTGCAATTTGATGCTAATTGGATTCGCGTAAAACTGATTGATTATAATCATTACAAAGCGATAAGGGTTATCAATGGAATATAGATAATGGAAAAGTGGAGAGGAGAAAACGCGAGTTATGATACGCTATCGATTCTGTCCTTACATGGTGGCATTGTTGAATAACTCGCTATTAAATATTACACGTATTTATACATCGAAAAAATTCTTACTACTTAAGCAGACAAGCTCTCGTTGCTCTCGTCACTCGACGATGTAGCGTTCTGTAAATTTCGAGATAGTCGACAGAGTGAAATCGCGCATCTGTCACATTAATCCTTCTATCGAGTCTCCTCGTCTATAAACTGAGCAAACATCGAACGTCGAAAATAAATTAAAAAGAAACGAAATAATGTCTCTCATTTATTTACAATCATATCAGTAACCTTAGGAGAGAGATCTTTATTAATAAATGAATAAGTGGTCACATTTAACGTAAATCGAACGAGTCGCGCCTCGTCTTCTCACTCACTCTCTCTCTGTCTCGCTCGCTCTCGATAGACCTTTGTCGGAAAAATCTACTCGCGAGAGAAATCCCGTCTCCGCGTTCCGGGACGAGAGATCCAAAGAAGATTCCGGTGAAAGAATATTCCGACGAAGGCACTCTGACTTGTTGCGCTCAGAGACTGCACAGTCTTACCGACTCGGTCTCGCCGACTGACGCTTCTCTAATATTTTCAAGAAACGAAGAGTGCAGAGAGACAAGAATGCGAAAAAATAAAAAGTTCAATGCTCGACTTGTGATCCCGCTGCGACGTAAAATTGCATTTTCACACCGTAAAATTTTTGGCATGTCTCGATCAGATTTCAATCTCGATAATCGTCTCGCATCTAAATCTCACGTACCTCTTAAACGCAATCCCTTGTAGTTTTGTAGAATAAGCCCAGGGTAAGCTTTTGTGATTCGAAAAGTACACAAAAGATTAGAAAAGTGGTCATTAGAGAGACGATTTTTATTTTAGCCACGTTACCTTTGCGCTATTCAAATGTAAAAGCTTCAAGGATTGATCGAATGAGTGAAATAGAATAGCTAAAAGAATAATTCGAAATATAGAAATGTAATAATATTTTGAGAAGAAAAATATATATTTGGAAATATCTACTTTATGCAATAAGAGCTATTATATTTACAAAATAATGTGAGAGGGGAAGAGAAAATGTTGAGATTAGCGAATATGCGCTTCGATAAAAAGGTAACATTTATCGCAACATGTGTTGTGCATTAACGCATGTATCGTTTGACGCATCTTCCTACAGATATAATCAATGTAAAACCTCTTGCATCGTGTAAGGTTGATCTCGTTGAACATAAGACAGAATTTGTACGCGATTTGTACAGATTCGAAAATACGATAGATTTAGAACATCACAGAAAAAACAGTATCCTTGAAAGAATGCAAATATGCCTTGATTCAAGTATATTTTATCCTTATAATAGCGCTAAATATAAATAATTTTGAATAAAGGATAATTTATCCTTAAAACAAAGTGCAACATATTTTTGGTTGAAGCTGAAATTTACTTATAAATATTGCAAGGTAAGCATCGGATATAAGTGATACTTTCAAATATATAATTCTTGCGATTTTTCAAACAAGAATATATCTAAAGGATAAAATATACTTTACACAAACTTATTTATTATTAAGGCAAATGAAAATTTGTGATTACAAAGAGCATTCTATGCTTAAATCAATCAAATAGTGTTCGAGAATAAAAATATACTTGAATCCAGGATTCCTTTTTTTCTGTGATCGTGTCTTATCCATCTTGAAGTTTTACATTCTTAATAACTAACTACTAATATGTAAGTTTAACGAATCTAACATCGAATTGTCGAGTGCAGTTTTTAAATCCGATATATTGTATAATCCCCGATATATTTGTCCCCCATTAAAAATTTATTTCGTATATATTAGTACGGCGCGCCGCGCCATATTAAATCTCTGCCTCTCTTCCTCCATCGGTTCCGACTTTAAGAAACCCGCGATACCTATTCATTCTCAAATAAACATTCTCTAAAGCTTATCCACGTCGAAATCAAAACTTGCTTGTCTTTCGTTTCTAACGTAAAGATTATAATTGCACATTACCTTCGAAAATAGGATAATCGCGTCAATCTCCCGCAGGGAGAGTGACTACTCTCTTTTGCGTTCTCCAGTCGTGTCATCATATTCCACAAAATCTAATGTTCCTTCTTGTCCTCGGTAGACGTCGTTTCCTTATTACGCACATCCTCCGCAGACTCGATGACCTCGAAGCCTTCGGAGGACGAAGTGTCGGCGGACGAACCCGCAGGTCCGGAAGTTGGAGAAGGAACCGCGTCCATCTTCGCGACGGAAGACACCGCTGTCGCGTCCTCCGACACTGCGATTCGGAAACGAAAAAAAAAAAAAATGTTCCTCATTACGAAGTCGCGAACCACGCCATTCGAATAAGAGCAACAATATTCGCGATAAAAGTGTAAAACGGTCTCATATACAGATCAGGGCACTCATTCAAATAAAGTGTATAAAAAAATGTAACCAATATGGCGGCCAATTCAGGGGCCTGTGTTTTCAATAATTTAGTAAAAACTATTCTTAATATTACTATTTATCTCGACGGTTTTTTAACCGTGTTTATTTTTAACATTTTTTCAATCGTGCACAAGATCTAACACAAAACTGTTAAAATAAAAAAAAATGTGCGCTGACGCACATTGAATAAATTGGCTCGAGTTGGCAGCCATATTAGTTACATTTTGTTACGCTTGACAGCATGTAGTCGATATAGAGGTGTCCTGACCTGTATATAAGACCGTGTGTAAAACTATTGGTGTAAAACGCTCGCGACTCTTGTAAGTTCAACCGCAGTAGCTGTAAACAAATCGGTCGGTCCGATGGGGGATCGTTCATTCGTTCGTTCGCTCGCGTGTTAAAACGATTATATCGATTATCCAGGACGAGTGCGAGAAACGAGAGATGAAATTAAAAGCCCAGAAAAATAATCAGTGCTAGTTGGATCGCTCGAATTGAAACACGATAGCGCGGTGTCGCGTGCCAAACTGTGTAGGCGCTCCAAAAGCGACGAGTGTCAGTGACACAGGATCTACAAAGTGCTCATTCAAAACTCTAAACCGGCGAAACGCCGCGCGCCTCGCGTGCCGACACGAGCGAAATGTGTAATCACGGAATTACTGACGATTACAACCTACCCTAGCAACGATTTCATTTCATTTCAAAATTACAAATACATTTCTGCATCAGGGATCGGAATCGCTATCGCTTGTGACTCCATCGACCTGTTTGCGCGAGCGTTCCATCTCATTATTTTTCTAATAACGTTCCTAATTTGCGCTTCGTAAAATATTAAAACGGAAAAAACTAAGCGTCGTCGAGAGAAAGGAGGAAACATTTTTCTACCACTTTTTTGTAGAAAAGCCCGAATACGCACATGTATGCATCGCGTTCCGATATATAATTAAATGTATCGTTTCAATTTGTTCCTCTATTCATGTATTTTCGCAGAAAAAGTACGAATATCGAAGTTCGATCAAATATACGATATCCAATAGCACGTTTAACTCTTTAGCACTACGAGATAAAATTTCACTTGTACTTATTCGCAATCCTCGCATAAACGCTTTATATAAAAAAAAAAATAGCACCCAGAGACAAAAAAATTCAACTCATAATTACATTTAAAAGTACGCGTTTGTCAAATTATTAATTGAAATAAAAAAAATGCCTATGTCGGAAGAAGAATTTATGTGTTATCCAATCGTCAAATTAAAAGTGGTTAATAGCCTTTTATCGCATAACTCCTAAAGAAGAAAACAAAGCGGATCGTCAAGATACACGCGAGTTACAACATACCTTGAACAGAACTGTCTTGATGATCCGTCGACGTCAACGACGACTCGGCCGACGTCCGCTCGGCGTCGACGTGTCCTTCTTCCGGAGCGGAGCTAGGCTCCGGATCGAATTGGGACAGCTCGGCGATGTAATTGTGCTGCGTCTGCTCCGTCGTAGGCGTCGACGAGTCGTTCGGACTCGGCGAAGACGAAGGCGTCGCCGTCGACCCGGGTCCCGGGGTGGTTGGGGTCGTGCTGGGCGTCGCTGGCTGCGCCTGCTGAGGCTGGGCGTGATTGCGAAACAGGAGTTGCTGCAGCTGCGCCTGCTGCAGGATCACCGGTAGCTCGTAATGATGGAAAAAGTAGAGCATCGAGTGCTGAAACCAGAGCGAGACCTCGGTGACGTAATTTGTTCAATCGGAGATGTGGATATTATGTAAGACAAGCTTAAGGGAATGCTGACCATGTCCGTTTTACCGACTTTGAGTTCAAAGGCTTTTTTTTTTGATTGACTATACAGATTGAAAAATCTTTCTCCACAATTAAAGTACTGATAATAATGAACGGGAAGCGCTGTAATTTCGTATAAAAGAATGATAAAAAAAAATTACAATTTTTTTATCGGTCTCTTGCATCAGCTCGTAACAATACTTATTTAATACAAAAGTTCTGCAGTTTGTTCGTGCACAAAATATGGCGCTCTCAATAGAGATGACATGAACGAATAATACAGAAGTAATAAAAATGAGATTCCCATCCATTATTACAGTCAGTACTTAAAAAAGTGCACCTAACCTAACTTAAAGTCGGTAAAACAGAGCAACGGTAGCATCCCCTTAATGACATTAAATTAAGGAACGAGGAGCGGAATATGCGACATACCTACGTATCTCTGTCGGAGCTAAACTAGATTCAATTGTTTCAAATTTGACGTCAATATCAACGTCAATATTATCATCGACCTGCAAATGACGTTGTTCCACCAACGTCATTTGCAGAGTGGCTTCCTCAAACATTATAACAAAAGTCAGAGGCGGATAGCAAATTCAAATGTCAACGCGGAGGAATGTTGTAGCTCGATCGTAATGACATGTGTCATTTTAAGCTGAATCTCTCTCTCTCTCTCTCCGATATATATATCACAAGTTTAAATTGTCACGAAAGTTGGCGCGTCCCCGCTGAACCAGAAACAAGAATTCTGTTAGCCGAGAAGATATATACATATCTCGTGGCTCTCTCTCTCTCTCGTAGGTTGTGACCCCGTGTGTGGTGCGCGGTCCGCTCACGCCTAGCAAATTTATATGGAAATTCGCCAAATTCGTTCTATATCGGAGCGCTCTCTTTCTCCGCAATCGCTTCATCGAACCTGACTCTGCCGATCCTCGGCAGATCGTAATAACCCGGCTTCGCTTTACTCGCCGCGAAACTACATTCCCCGCGTCTGTTACATATATACATACATACACATATGGTGTTATTAGATGATTCGTCCCTCTGATCGAATCGACGAAAGTTGAAAGAATGATTTACAGAGGTGCGAAATAAATTACGTGCCAATGAGAGAGAACTTTCTCTCTCTCTCTCTCTGGCTCTCGAGATTCCGATGTCCTATTTAAAATAGAAAAATCCAGCACGAACGAATGAGACGCGGATGGGGAGAAGCGAAGGTGGCAAACGGATGAGGAAGAATCTTGGATATGGAAAATAGATATCTCGAGTCTCCCTCCGTTTCCCCTCCCTCGGGCACCTGTCGACGACGCGAAGGAAATGGGGTATTCCCGGCGATTCGTCGGCGAGAGCGAAACGATTCCGCGCCGTTTGATAAAAAGAAGACCGGTGGAAAGATTCGCGAGATGAGCGGGAGTGGATCCCCCAAGGTAAATGGGAAAGAATGTGAAGGGAGGACGCGGATTGCGGAAACGAAAGCGGAATCGGGGAGGAAAAAGAGGGTGGAAGATATATATATATATATATATATATCGAATTTTCGTTTGGCGGATAATCAACGCCAATGACACCGATATCGAATCGACGTATAATCACGCCGCCGGGCTGATCGGCTAAAATCTGACCTACAGCAACAGCCGGCCGTGAGCTTTGGTCGTCCGGGAGTCAAAACGATTCTCCGACGTGCCCCGCGGCCTTTTGAATTTTACCGCCACGCGATATTCGTAAACTCGTTGCCAGGAAATAATTGTCGCTCGTTAAACGATCGATCATGTTAACGAACCTGTAACCCGGTTGTCAGGCGAGGACTGTCATCAACCGTGACGTGATGGGTTTAAGCCGATTTATTTATCGAAGCATATATATTCGATCACGTTTCCAAATACGTCGACATATCGTTTCGTTTATGCGCTTGTGACAAAAATTGTTACACCCCACACACACGTATCTATGAATTCGGAATAATATTATACGATAAAATATGACGTAGAAAATTGAATTTTCAGAGATATAATCTGAAAGATCCTCGTATATTTCTAAAAAAAATGAACATATCTATATATAGTAATAGAAATAAATGCTTAATCTGGAATTGATAATTCCGTTAAATTAGAATAGAATCGAGAGGAATGATCGACAATCATTATATAAATGTGTCCGACAATCGAATACGGCGAATACAAATACGTAATAATATAATCTTTTTCCCAAGCGCAGATACAGTAATGACGCAGCATCGTGATGCATTTATCACACCTTTTATCGAGTGAATTAAGCACTCCATTAAACTTTAATGGTATTCAGTTTTTACGCGTGAAATATACACAGTACATATCTGAATGTAGTTATTAACGTAGCGGCTATCTATTGTAACGCCATTATAATAATACCTGTTAATACGGCCATCGCGATCATCTAATTATAAGTTATTGCGTTATCAAAGTACGCCCTCCAATCAGATTATCCACCGTATTATTGGCATAGCGACAAATTTGTTTCTGAAATTCCGGCGGCTTATGGCAAATGTTCTATTACGAGCGATCGCGTCCGTCGCGTATAATAGACGATACTCTCTACTTAAATACGGAGATAAACGTACAATCGATGCGATTCTGGTTTAACGTGACTGGAAAAACAGAGGAGAGAAGCTAAAACAGTCTATTTACACGTATAATATTGTACGACAATTACGAACAAATAAATCAATTTTACTCGCGCGTAAAAGAGACAAAAATAAATACAGTAGCGTGATAAATAAAAATTATCTCCAAGATTGGAGCGAAGTTTCAGAGAATATAATACGATAGCGTATATATACAGAGTGTATCTAAATAAGTGTGAAAAATGTTAAGAAAAGAGGGTTTCTTATATAAACATACACGCTAGAAATAAAACAAATTAAATAAGGGTTGTTGGTTTTATCCCCTTATAACGATACAGGAAGATGAAAAAATATTGATAAATGTCCCCCGACCGAGTTTAATTTTTTATTTGTCTGAAATTTGAGAAAAAAATAGAAACCAATTTTTCACCTCTTTAGAAAAGTGTAACTCCTCAGGGAGAGGTGTATAAGAAACCCCCCTGTATTTTCGACAAAGAATCATGAAAAATTGTTCGCACTTATTTAAATACACCTTGTACATACATATATTTCCTAATGGAATACACATATATCGGATGAAAAATGAAATAATATCTCTCTCGACGGAAATGCCTGCGTCCTTGATGAAAAGAAGCGAGACACGCCCTTCTCGACGGGAAGGAGATTCCCGTATTAAGGTAACCTTATGCGCATTCGTATATCGGGAGCCAAGAAGCCGCATTAAATTATTTCTATCGATCGAGCTGTCAGGAGCATTGTCCCGGCTGCGTTTACGTAACTTAAGTTTGAGCGATGGCGGCTTTAGGCTATCCAGCCAAGCGACCACGGCTCGTTCTTCGTACTGCGCTAGCGTTAGCTGTCAATCGCAGGACTCCCGACAGTAGCCAACGGGATCGCATGCAAAATATTGCGTCCCCCCTCCCCCGTTTTCCCTCATCTATCTCTCGACGCTGTTCCTCCAAGGTGGAAGTGCAAACTCGCGTCACAAGCCCGGACCGGGCATTATGCGTTTTCCCATTCTACGATGAATTCATCGATCGCGATCGAGGAAATTCATTGTCTTATACAGAGTGTCCGGTAACTAACGGACCAACGATTACAAATGGATTCTTTGGTCAATTTGCGAACGATTTTTCCTCAGCGAAAATGTCGAAAAAGGTCATCATTTTTTACAACTTTCCAATATTTGTCATTATGTATCTTTATAACTAAGCCTCAAATTAAAATTTTATTATAGTAAACTCTACCTGAAATTAACTGAAGAATGTAATTATGTTAGACTTTTAACTCCAAAACGTTTAGTTTTCAAAAAACCCATTTTTTTCAATCGCTTATAACGCTTATAACACCCTGTATATTGACGAATTAAACGGTGAAATAATAACGAAAATTCTTTTCTCTATAATCTTATTACTTTAGATATCGCAATCGTATTCTTTCATCGATATCGTCGCCGAATATCGCCGATCGCAGTAGAAAGTGTCAACGATATATCCGGCGCGCGGCTAAAGAGCATGGTTTCGATGCTTGGTGAATAGTTAACATTTTACTTGAAATTGTTTTAAAATATCTTTATGTAAGAGAGATATCTCTCTATATTTGAAAAAATATCAAGAAAATTTCAATTCTATAATAAATAAAACGCGGAAATAAGACACAATATTATAATAAGATATCTGTCAATTTCACTTTCTTTTTTTTTTTACGTTTTTCCTGTATTATCTTAATGCAGATCTAATATCATTTTCTGTTTAGATCTAACTTATATTATGCTGTCAATGGTTTCTTCAGTTCATTCTAATTTGAATCTAATATTATCGAGTTCAGAGATAGCTTGGATAGCTTGGTTAGTTACCGGACACCCTGTATATTGACGAATTAAACGGTGAAATAATAACAAAAATTCTTTTCTCTATAATCTTATTACTTTAGATATCGCAATCGTATTCTTTCATCGATATCGTCGCCGAATATCGCCGATCGCAGTAGAAAGTGTCAACGATATATCCGGCGCGCGGCTAAAGGGCAGACAATAACGCTTTTCGGTTTAGAAAAGCTGGCGAGAAAAAGAAATCAAGTTCGATTGATCTTGGGAGACAGATTCGCTACTCTTCTTAGGATTAGTATATATTAACGAAACTAAAAAGAAATTCCACCAACGTGATTGAAAATCCTTGATTTATTAAGCGCGAGTTTTATAGGATTTGAATCCGCTCTTAATCATTGGTCCGTTAGTTACCGGACACTCTGTATACGCATGTACGATTAATTGTCGTTTGATTGCTAAATGAGATTGCGATGAAAGTTTTATTACGTCGGTCTCTTTCGAGAAAATGAAATACGAAGCTTTTTAAATAAATCGCATATATACCCTTTTTCATATTTCTTCCCCTTTTTCAGATATGTTAATCTGACAAATTTTCGTATATGTTTTCAACGTTAATTAATGCAATGTAGAAACAATGGTGGAATTGACATTATTTAATCTATCGAAGCCACACATCGGACAATAATTCATAATCCATATATCTCTTTCTCCCTTTCCCTTTAATTATGACTCCAATCCGAATATAATTTGCGTTTCTAAAATATATGTAATGCTATAAAATTCATTCATTCTCACCTATCGACGCTTGGCTTACTTTAACAACAGATTGAACTTATTTACGAATCATTTACACAGACCGGATCTAAAAAAAAATGAAATTTGAAATGTTCCTACATCTGCAAGAAGAATAGCAAAAATATCTGCGATGCAATTTTTAAACGCAGCTCGGGGAGAAGAACTCTTTTGCTAAACTTAGACCAACCATATCGGCTGAAGTACTCGCAAGTAGGTCACGGAATATTCGTGATCAATGTCCGTCTCAATGAAAAAGAGCAATTTTTCTCGGGAAAAAACTTTTCTATTTCCGCGCGGTAGAGTTTTTAGTTTGTATCGCGAAGACGATTATTTCACGATTCGTGACGGGGATTCAAGCGCCACTTTAATTCCGAAATATCGCGTAAATACTTGCGCCTCATCAGCACATTTGCATGCCACGAGAATTTATTCCCAATCACTGTTCTTTGTACTCCCGTCGTCGATCGACGACGTATCTCGAAGTATCTCGAAGTTCGAGTCTTAAACTGAATAAATTTGATTTTCCATCTTAATGACATGAAATTACTCACCTGTATAAAGAGCCAGGACGTGATGAGCGCCAAGCTGCTGTACTGTCCATTAAATCGATAATGGTATGCGTAGAAAGAAAAGTGATACAGATAGAAGAATCTGAAACACAGAAACAACATGTCTCGTCGTTAAAAAACGTGTCTCGAAGTATACATGAGACGAATATAAGTTGGTTACAGAAGGGCGCGTCTCGATAAACGAAAAAAAAAAAGATCGTTCGACGCGAATACGTGAAATTGCGGAATGCAACGAGATTTATTCGCCCCCGGATGTGTGCGCGATAATCTCTAAAATCCAACATCTAAAACAACATCGAGCCACTTAACAGGTTACATAACGTAACGATATACACGGCACGTTCCCACCCCGTGGCAACAATACGGACGAACTATCGATCAGATCGTATCGAGTTTCAGCCTATTGAAATATCGAGGGTGACGCGTTGCGCGGCTAGCGGCTATATGCGTCGTTATTACGACCGAAAAAAATATCGCAATATGCGAGAATCTAGCGACACGCACGATTCTCTTCCGTAAAAAGCATCGGATATTACAAATTATTCTCGCGGTCGACATCGTATTTTTTTAAGTACACAGAGAGAATTTTCTCTTAGAATTTAAGTAAGAATCTTATAACAATTTCTCTGATTGATATTTACCACAATAAAAATATTAATATGTACATAGTAAAATTTACTATGTACATAGTAAATTCTTAGTAAAATTAATTGTCGATTACCATGATTTTTAGGGTAAATTTGAAGAGAAAAGTGTAGGTGCTTGATATTTTTCTAAAGGAACAATCATTGAAATCATTCAAAGTAGATAAAAATTAAACTGATATATTTCCTTCGGTGTCTTCAATGAATCGTGATTAAAAGATGATGTGTAAAATTGCACACTTTTCAATCTCGTATCGCCTTAAAAAACACGAAATCTCTCTCGTCCTGCGGAGGATTAATCCACCTCGGTTTTACGATAAATAAAACGCAGAAATACTTTATCTCTTAATCTTCCTCTAACTGAATTATTTGTTACCCTATTTCGTACACCGCTTCTCAACCACGAAGGAGACACGAATCCTTTCTCGCGACGATATCGTTTTATACATTTCGAGCTTACGATTCATAAAAATGTCCAGATTTGAATTCATTTCGGAGAATAAATTTCTAAAAACAATTAAGATACATGTTTAGAGACTTTCTCTTTTTTTTTATTTCAACGTATCCTTGCCATCTTCATCGGGAAGACACTTTTGAATTAATATAGATATGTGAAAGGTTGCCTGCGTGTGGATGGATTTTGTAGATATCATAATTTATCAGGATTTTATCGGCTTTAATACACCCACGCACGCTCGACATAATTCTTTACTCTTTTCAAAAGCACAATATCTGCTCGATGAATAAAAAACGTAAAAATATAAATTATCTCTATCACTCTCTGAATCAATGACAAAAATCTACGCATACTTTTATTTATATTAAATATTTGATTTATATTAAATAGTCTTCTATCTTGCACGATTATTAAAAAAAAAATGGAATTTTAATTAAAAAATTCCCATTTTATGATAATTAAATTTACACGAAGATCAAACAATCGCTTGGATGTATTCCGAATAATTATAAAAAAAGGAACGTAAGCGTAGGGTTATATTTGTCTATACACACACATATTTTTTTTCATTGCAGTCTTTGCTGATGAACGGCGTTTAGGTGATGAAGAAGGGATTGTAATCAAGCGATTTTTACGAGAAGCTGTTACGGTCGCCAATATTTACGGATCAGGGCGGGGTTGAGGCAACGCCACTACCCGAAGAAAGAAAAGCGATCAGCTGGGGTGTGGTGGAGGATGATAGAAAAAGAAGTTGGGGTCTGTAGGTATATCCCCTCGACGAGTATGACGACTAATTTTCTAGAGTATATAACGGAACTTTAGCGTCTCTCAATCAATTCGATATACATATATGTATAGGTATCGTAAATTATGGCTGTACAATCAATGGAATATTAGCGCCATAAAAATATTTTGTAAACACACGTCAGGCAGAGAGAATGAAATTAATACAAAAATTGAAGTGTTGTTGCATAAATAATAATGAAATCTAACAAAAATGAAAAAAAAAACAACTCCATATATGATAGCAAAATATATATCTGTGCAATGAAAATATATGATGTGCTTGAAAAAATGAGGATCTCTGTTCCTAAGACCATATAAGCCTCAAACAATAACGTATTGAATGCATTCATTTGAAAATCTTACGATGCGTAAATTTATGTACAGCGGGCGTTGGTTCGTAACCGCTTTGCATTACGTTTTACGACGCTGCCAGTCGTAAAACGCAGTTTAGGCGGCCGATGCATCCCATTTTCGTTTGCGACGACACGGGCAAACATCCAATAAATCCCACCATGCGTCTTGTTTGGATCGAAAGCAAAGTCTCGTCGTGATTAAAGCGTTCACGTTACTTTGCAATTTATTATATCTAAATTAAAACGCTGTGTATTTATATATGGTCGATTGCAATATTTTTACATCGTTTATGCTTTCAATACAATACAATGAAATATTCGCTCGACAGCTTGTCTAATCGCAGAAAAAAAGGAATCCTTGATTCAATATATTTTTATTCTCGAACGCTATTTGATTGATTTAAGCATAGAATGCTCTGTGTAATCACAAATTTTCATTTGCCTTAATAATAAATAAGTTTGTGTAAAGTATATTTTATCCTTCAGATATATTCTTGTTTTAACTTTTACTTTATAACTTTATACCTAATACTTTATAACTAATTTTAATTTTGCACTTTGTTTTAAGGCTAAATTATCCTTTATCCAAAATTATTTATATTTGGCGCTATTATAAAGATAAAATATACTTAAATCAAGGCATATTTGCATTCTTTCAATAAAAATTAAAATATCAATGTTTTTCGAATGTATTTTTCGAAGCTATTTAAATGACGGTCATTTAAATATTACCAAAAATCTGCCGCCATGCAATTGTTCACAGAAAAAAAGAATCCTTGATTCAAGTATATTTTTATTCTCGAACGCTATTTCATTGATTTAAGCATAGAATGCTCTTTGTAGTCACAAATTTTCATTTGCCTTAATAATAAATAAGTTTGTGTAAAGTATATTTTATCCTTTAGATATATTCTTGTTTTAACTTTTGCTTTATAACTTTATACCTAATACTTTATAACTAATTTTAATTTTGCACTTTGTTTTAAGGATAAATTATCCTTTATCCAAAATTATTTATATTTAGCGCTATTAAAGGATAAAATATACTTGAATCGAGGCATATTTGCATTCTTTCAATAAAAATTAAAATATCAATGTTTTTCGAATGTATTTTTCGAAGCTATTTAAATGACGGCTACCAAAAATCTGCCGCCATGCAATTGTTCACAGAAAAAAAGGAATCCTTGATTCAAGTATATTTTTATTCTCGAACGCTATTTGATTGATTTAAGCATAGAATGCTCTTTGTAATCACAAATTTTCATTTGCCTTAATAATAAATAAGTTTGTGTAAAGTATATTTTATCCTTAAGATATATTCTTGTTTTAAACATATTTTGCATTTGAATTAAAATTATATATTTGAAAGTATACTTATATCCGAACTTTATAATAATTTAATTTTGCACTTTGTTTTAAGGATAAATTATCCTTTATCCAAAATTATTTATATTTAGCGCTATTAAAAGGATAAAATATACTTGAATCGAGGCATATTTGCATTCTTTCAAGGATACTGTTTTTTTCTGTGATTTAATGAACGTTAGCCTTGTAAAAAGAGAAACATAATAATTTGACGCGAACGCGCTCGAAAGAATCGAGCGGGGAAATAAAAGATAAAACGAACGAGAAGCGGACAGAGGGATGAGAGAAGGAATGCGCCTCCGAAATCCTACGTTACGTATTCCGGGGACATAAGCTCTAAAGTGTCTCACGCTCAGGGAACCGCAACCATCCGACGACGATTCATACGTTTTTCCCGGGAAAGAGGGAGAGCAAAGAAGAAGAGAGACTCTCCAAACGCATTCTGAATTCATTGAATAGTACTGCTACCCCGCCGGCAGGGGTTACTTTCGGACTTTGGAGCAGACTCCAAACGGGTCCCCAGCTGCCCGATGCAATCTCGTCCAACTTTTCATACTACATACGTAACAGTCGGACCATAACTCGATTAATGTCGGAAATCACGATAACAGAGTTGGCAATAATTATTATTATGTGCAGTTATTTGCGATTAATCGAGTTGGAAGAGAGAGAAAGTCGCTTTATCGACTAATTATATTTACTAATGATGTATTCGTGTTTGTGATGCATTACACTTTATATTATGTTTGTCAAGCATGATTCTCACTGTCAAAATTTATGTACCATTGCCAGTATTTAGAGAAAATGGATATTTCTTTAGAAATTATTAAAGAAAAAGATTTTATCTCCGAAAATTCGCGTCATTGCTCGAGATAATGAATTTACGAGATATAACGCTCGCGTGTCAAATCGCACGAGAGATATTCACCAGGGCGTATTTCGTCTCGTCCTCGCCTTTGGTCGGATGCAGTTCGTAACAATCAGTTTCGGCATTCAATTGACAGATTTACAATACGAGAGATAGGAAAAGAAGGATATCAAAACGAGACGTTGAAATAAATACGACAAATTAATTCTACGAATCGTATTCTTATTTTTTTCTCATCAATCAATTTCCGCAAGAAAAAATAAAATATCGTTCGAAAAAGTAGCTGGTTGAAAAATGTCTCTTTCCAACTTTGACATTTTTCACATGGTTTATTTGAATAAAACAAGTCGTCGCCAATGTAACCACAGGATGTGAAACCGTACGCTTGTCCGAGAAATTTGCCCATGTTTTCTACCGAGGAGCAATATCTTTTGAGAATCGCTTACTTTTACACAAGTGAGTGAACGAAGAGGAAACGAAGGAAGGGAATGGAAGGATCCCGCGGCGATGTTCCAGGGAAGAGGGTCGCGCTTTAACGGCACCAGGGTGGGAACAGGAAGGCGAAGAGGGTGTAGCCGTCTCCATAACTGTACGGTCCACTCGGCTAAC